TCTTTCCCTTTGTGTTCGTCATTTTGGTTAATTACTGGAAGATGGCGGTTCCGGCCAAAAGGCATTTCTCATTCTTTCAGATAAAACTTGTTACTTTACTAAAGTTGCCAAAATTGTAAATAAAATGGCAATCATAGAAATGAAATATTTTATGAAAGACTACTTGGAAATGTGTTGAAATCACATTTTTCAATTGCCAGAGGGTGCATGAATGTGTGCCCCCAATCCTGACAGGTGGAGTAATGGAGAAGGGACTGCAGCACAATCGTGCCCCATGGGGCTGGGGGTGGTACCTTATCCTTCTCTCTGGAAAATGTACAAACTCTCTGGCAATTAAAAAAAAAATAATAAAGTCCCACTTTCTCAGGTGGTCTCAGGAAAGGAGTTTCAAAGATCATTCATCTTTCTTTATGAAAAAATTTTGTGGTGAAAGTGCTGTTGATTTTATTAATTTTACCTCTTTTTTATTCTGAACTCTAAAGGCCTGCTTTCTTAACCCAGGGGAGTAACTACTGGCAGACTGAAACAAAAAATTATTCTGTTGCCAAAAAGTTAAAATAAATCAAAGGCAATTTGTACTTGGAGGATTACTGAACTAAATACAAAGAACAAAAGAACTACAAGGACACTAAGATTTGTCTTCTACTAAATTAAACTTTTTCTAATTCTTAGAACAGTTCTTGGCATACAGTAACTATTATTATTATGGAATACTAAATTGAAACTAATGCTAAATTGAAATTGATAAGTGATACACTTTATTTTTCCATTCACTTGCATCAACATATTAAGGTGCTTGTGAATTTCATTCATTTTATTTTTTGAGAGAGATTTTTGCTATCAGGCGCACATACTCACCAGAGAGACAGAGAAAAACAGACAAAATGCTAGCAATCAGTCCCCGGGGGATGGCCACACTCTAATCCCTTCTCCTCCAATTTCCTCTCACAATTCTGGACTGAGGAAAGAACTAGGCCTAAGCCCCATGTATGAACATGCGGCCAATGTGAGTTTTAAGCACTGGGTCCGGGACTCAAACTATGGTCAACTACGTGGGAGTCCAGCGACATAACCATTATGCCATCTGCTGGTATCTCATTCATTTTCTTAGAAAAGGCAATTTCTTAAAAAGCCTAAAGTATACCTTTTCTGACATTTATTTCACAGAAACTGAATAACTACGAAATGTATAAGAAAGACACAGAACTTTAAATGTGGACTCTATAAAGCATGTAAAGAGAACTGTTCAGTAATAATGGATACCATGAATTTCTTTTTCCTAGAGTGTGTGCACTTGCCCGAGAGTGAGCAAGCATGCGCACATACCCTGCCCCCAGGGACCGTGGTCACGCAGCAATTCTTCTACATTTGTCCCTCCTATCAGAATTTCGGGCACCCATACACATACATTTGGCATGTTTTCCATGCCACCAAAGCCGGGATTCAAACCACTGCTGGCCATGTGAAATCTGGTTCATTTAATGCTGCCCCCCACCCAACACCTTGAATTTCTAGAGTTATAATACTATTTTTTTATTTTATTTATTCATTTACTTATTTTATTTTAACCAGAGAGAGACACAGAGAAAGAGAGAAAGTGAGAAAGCAAGCCACCAGATCCAGGCCTTGAACCATGGTCGGCCATGTGGGAATGTCCAGCGCCTTAACCACCACACCACCCGCTGGTCCCAATACTACTATTTTTAAAAAATTCTATGAGAGAAGTCAAGTTCATCGACCTCCTATATTCTTGGGTATATAAAATTAAACTGCAATGTAACCTTTGGGAAAAGAAGGGACCAGCAGATGGGACAGTGGTTGGAATGCTGGACTCCCACATGGCCAACCATGGTTCAAGTCCAGGGCCTGGCAGCTTTCTTTCTTTTCCTTTCTCTCTGGTCAAATAAAAAATAGTAACAATAAAATAAATAATTCTTTTAAAAATTTTAGGGAAACAGTAACTTTTTTTATTAGCATTCAGAAAAGTTCACATGGGACATATTCAAATTATGATACCTCAAAGTTAAAGAGGAATAAAATACACCTAACTGTACAAATTATATACAAAAATAAAACTAAGGACTTAAAACAATTTCTTGAAAAGAGTAAAGAAAAAAGTCTTTTGACAAAATAAAAAAAGACTGGGACAAAGAAAAAAAGTTTCCTGATTAATACTTAATTTTAGGAATTCAGTATAAAGAATAAGACGTATTTCTTTACAATTTTGGAAATGTCTAGCTTGGAACTCTTAACATTATATGTGTGCTCACAAATTTCAGGTGGTTGGGGGACAAACAGTTGGCGTAATGGTTATGTTGCTGGACTCCCATGTAGTCGCCTGTGGTTCAAGTCCCAGACCTGGTGGCTTAAACTCACACCAGGTACATGTGCATGCGTGCCCAAGATCCCAAGAAGAGAATGGAGGAGAAGGGATTGCAGCGTGGCCATCCCCCTAGGGGGTGATTTCTCACTTTCTGTCTCTCTGTCTCTCTCTGTCTTCTGGTGAGCCCTAGAGCAAAAACCTCTCCAAAAAAAAAAAAAAAAAAATTCCAGGTGCCCACATCTTTTGGCTGGTCAACCCACAGTGATGGTCTTTTTTGCCCTACAGTTTTCTTTGGGCTTCGCATAGTTCCATGGCCGTCTATTCTCTGTGAATCCATAGAGTTTTCTAAGTGCCACTCGTGCAGCTTCTTCTTCTGCAACCAATACTGTTTCTCCAGGGCCTTCTGCAAGCAACTTTTTATCACTGTGAAGAAAACAAATAGTCTTAATTTACACAAAGCATCATAAAACACAGTACACAAAGCAGCTGGGTTTCTAATTCTTACTTTGATGATAACATCCACCAGAAGTAACAATATAGCATTAGATACACCATCTTTTGGACTTTTAAAAAGAATTATTTAATTTTATTCATTCAGTAAGGACACAGAGAAAGAGAGAGAGGGAAAGTGAGAAAGCAAGCCACCAGGTCCGGGAACTAGAACCGTGGTCAGCCATGTGGGAGTGTCCAGCGCTTTAACTAGCACACCACCTACCGGCCCCTAGATATATCATCTTTTGGATTTTAATCAGTTTTTTGCAAGTTTACAGTATAGTTAGACACAGACTCATTTACAGTTCCATAGAAACAAATAGCTAGATCCAGTATTTCTTGAGTCAAAAAGACAAAGCGTACTTGTGTAAATGTGGATTTGTTTGTAATTATTAGTAGGAAACTTAGAAAAACATATAAACACGTTCTTATAAAAACTTGAAACTATTAGAAATATTGAGGGCCCGGCCATAGTGGCAGAGCGGCAGTGTGCTACTCTGCAACACTGGAAGAAGCCATATGCGAGTTGCAGGTTCAGTTCCAGGTTGACCTGCGCATACTGGGTGGGTACTCGCAGCCTATAATAATAACAGCTAAATGGGAAGGCCTGAGGAAAGAACTGGGCCTAAGCCCCTGCTGGGAGGCCTGTCTTTCACTTTCTCTTTCTTTCACTCAATAAATAAGTAAATTCACTTTAACACAAGTAAGAAATCATTTGTTTTTTTAATTTAGAACTTGTGACTTTAAAAACTGTCTCAAATATAAATTTATTTATTTATAATCCACTCTCATGTATTCCCTAAATATAGTGAAGTAACACAATAAATACCAAATGTTGACTATTTGTAATCTAGTAAAACTACATAAAACTGAGGATTCCTCAGCTTTACAGATACTATAACTAGCTTTCTTCTTTACGAATGTAAAAATGTTGCTGTGAAAGCAAAAGATATGCATATTAAATAACTATAATCCTATTTGTTTTGCTACTTCTCAACTATATCTAACTACTTCTTGGAAATTACCTTACAATTTCACCTATGCAATTAAAAGTATCTCTGAATGTTTCATGCAAATCAAGATCTCGATTGAATGGAAGTCGACTTGAAAGTTAAGATCAGAACTAAATTAAAGAAAAAGGAGCACAGCTACACGAGTAGAAGCACTACAACATGAAAGGAATTTGCTAAGAAACATTTATGATTATTTGAAATGAAACAAAGGTTAGTCATGCAAGTTAATGAAGTACATATTTGCCAAAAGTAAGGAACAGAGAAATTCATCTAAGAATGAATTTCAACACAGAAGACTTATCATCATGTTCTTAGTCTACTGATGCTAATATCACTAATAGTCTTTTAAGAAGTCATGTAACATTTAGGAAAAACTACCACCCAATGACAGTCACTGTTAGTAATATGGCAAATTACTTCTTACCAATTTTTTTATAATTATTTATTTTATTTTATTTATTTGTTTGTTTGTTTGTTTTAATTTGACCAGAGAGACAGAGGGTGAGAGTGAGATAGAGAGGAAGTGAGAAAGCAAGTCACCAGATTCAGGACTTGAACCCTGGTCGGTCATGTGGGAGTGCCCAGTGCCTTAAACACCACGCAACCTGCTGGTCCCAACTTCTTACCAATTTTTAAGATAAAAGACCATTCTGCAAAATTCCCCAATGTAATTAAAAATTCTTTAAAAACCACAATAGCTGCATTATGTCATTATATACACACGCACATAATATATAATATATATATATATAAAATTTCCCTCTTGCTGGATACCAAAAGATTTCTAGTTTGTTTTGTTTTGAAGCTTGCTATATGGTATATGCATTTACCAGAAAGAGACAGAGAAAGAGAGAGAGTGAGTGAGAAATCTTTCCCAAGAGAGGTGGCCACACTGAAATCTCTTATCCTTCTTTTTCCCCTTGGGATTCTGGGAACACACACACACAAATGCCCAGTGTTTTTCAAGCTGCTGGATCCAGGACTTGAACTGCACAGTCAGCCATGTGGGAATCCAGCTGCCTTAATCTTTGTGGCACCTGCTGGCCCCTCTCGTTTTTTATTAGTTCAATAATCATTTCCTGATAATCATGTTCAGGGAATTGTTCTAGGCATGGGATATAAAGTGGCCAACAACAAATTAAAATCTTTGCTCACAAATTTTTGTCTATAATCTTTAGACAACCAAAGTAGAAATATCAAATCAATGGGCATGAAAATATTAAAGAATCTTGGGATTCTGTCACAATTATAACTATGCTGTACATTTTTTCTTTCTTTTTTTTTTTTTGGAGCGGTTTGCTATAGGGCGCATGCACTCACCAGAAAGACAGAGACAGACAGAAAGCGAAAAATCGCCTCCCCAGGGGGGATGGCCACCCTGCAATCCCTTCTCCATTTTCCTCTTGGGATCTTGGGCATGCACACACATGTGCCTGGAGTGAGTTTAAGCCACTGGGTCTGGGACTCAAACCATGGTCAATTACAAGGGAGTCCAGCGACATAGCCATCATGCCAACTGCTGGTCTCGCCTTCTAATATCCATATATAAATTGAAGAACGATGTGTTTAAGGTTTGCCAATCTGATAAGCAAAAAGAGCATTTCACTGTTTTGCTTTGCCCTTTAATTAGAACTCAAGATGAAACTTTTCCTTTTTCTTAGGTTTTTGCCATACAGCATGTGTGCTTACTGGAGAGAGAGACAGACAGTGAGAGAGAAAGTGAGAAATCACCCCCCAGGGGGGCGGTGGTGGCCACACCACAATCCCCTTCTCTCCATTCTTCTCTTGGCATTTTGGGCAGGCAAGCACAAGTATCCAGTGTGATTGTAAAGACACTGTGGAAAGGACTTCCAGGACTCAAACTGTGTTCAGTCATGCGGGAGTCCAGCACCTTAACACCATGCCATCTGCTGGCCCCAAAGATGAAACTTCCTACAGTAGTACTATTCATTTTTCTCCTTTGTGATATCTTCCATTGCTTTTATACCTGCAAAGTCCTTTATGATAACAAAGATTAGAAACATATGTACCTAAATTTTAATCCAGCCACCTGAAATATTTGATGTTTACATTTAACACTTTTTTTTTTTAATGTTTTGCAACAGGGTACATGCACCTGTCTGAGAGAGATAGACAGAAAGATAAGAGAGTTGGAAAGTAAGAAATCATCCCCAGGGGGAATGGCCAGACCCCAATCCCATCTCCATTCTCTTAGAGTTTGTAGCATACATGCACATATCCCTGGTGTGATTTTCAAGCCACCAAGTCTAAGACTTGAACCATGGTTGATTATGTAGGAGTCCAGCGCCTTCACCACCACACTACCTGCTGGCCCCTATATTTAACGCTTCAGTGTTGATACTTGAATTTGAGATAGGTCAACTTTTAATTTTTTTTGCTTGTTTGTTTTAATTGCCAGAGAGTGCATGGCACTTGCCAGAGAGAGGGGAAGAGACAAGAGAGACAGAAAAAGGAAGAAAGTCCCACCCTCCAACCGGGCAGAGTCAGACTACAATCCCTTCTCTTCCATTTCTCCATCCTGTCACAATTTCAGGCACACATGCACATGCATCTGGCATGTTTCTAAAGCTGCTGGGGTTGGGATTCAAACCATAGTCAGCCAAATGGGATCTGACTCCCTTAATTACTAGGATACAAAACTGGTCCAAGGCAGGTCAAGCTTTTACTAATAAAACTAAACAGAATGGGACCAGCAGGCATGGAGATTGTGACAGCTGGAGCCCATATGGTCAACAGTATCTCCTGGACCCAGCAGCTTGAAAATCATGCTGGGCTTGTGTGTGTGTGCACACTCAAATTTTTTTTTCTTTTTTTTGGAGAGATTTTTGCTATAGGGCGCGTGCGCTCGCCAGACAGAGAGAGACAGAGAAACAGAAAGTAAGAAATCACCCCCCAGGGGGGATGGCCACGCCACAATCCCTTCTCCTCCATTCTCCTCTTGGAATCTTGGGCACACACACACACACACGCCCGGCATGAGTTTAAGCCACCGGGTATGGGACTCGAACCGCAGTTGACTATGTGGGAGTCCAGCGACATAGCCATTACACTAACTGCTGGTCCCTGCATGCTCAAATTTCTGAGAGGAGAATGGAAGAAAAGGGACTGTGGCATGGCCAGCCCCCTGGTGGGGGGAAGTGATTTCTCACTTTCTCTTTCTCTGTCTCTCTAGAAGCACATACACCTTATAGCAGAAAAAATAAATAAGAAAAGAAAGAAAAACAGACAGACAGACAGAGAGACTAAAAAGCTCTCAACATGGGCTTATGCATTTTGATGGATAACCAAGCCCTTCCTTTTCTAGTTCTAGGCTCTGTTGAAGCTGCTGACAAGGGTGGACTGAGGTTAAATCTGTAATGAGTCAAACTTTTATTTTTTATAGAGACAAATTTAGGCTAACATATATCCTATAAAAATCTACAGTTAACAGTTGGCTAACAAAGCTACTGTTAGCAAAACAGATTACTTGTCTGCCTCTCAGAATGATCAGTGGGAAAGGAAGCAGTAAATAGATATTCATGAAGACGAGGTTTTAAAGCATTAGAGGTGATGTTAAGGAGTTATGAAGAGTATTCTTAAGGCTTTTGATTAAAGTTAGGAAGTTATGATTCAAATTTTACTAACCAATATAAGCCGACAAAATACAAAGGCAAAGCTGTGGTGCTTCCAGACTGCCTCGTAAGTCTAGACTCAGGAGCCGAAATATTCCTTTTCTTCAATTCCTTTACCAGTAGTCCCATGGGATTTATGACTGGCCACATCTCAAAGAGCTCTTTTCCAGTCATTTGGGTAATTAAGAAATCCTGCATATAAAAATATAATTTATACATTTAAATTAGTATAAAGAGCATAAGTACCATAATTCAAAGTACATTTTAACAGAAATTAAAAACTTGGTGGGAAATGAACAATAAAACATTACTATTCTTTTTCAATACCATATAGTTTTTACAAATAAATTTAATTACAAAAATCATAGCTGGAAAATTTGAAAGCCTGAGAAAACTTTAATTCAAGTGATATCTATGAAAATTCTACAGAAGGGCCAATCCTACCTTTTTTAAAAAAATTATTAATAAAGGCAATCAGGGTCCTGAAAAATTTGCTCCATCAAGTTACTGTTTTCTTTTTTAATTTCCTAGAAGGCATTTGCACTCACTAGAGAAAGAAGTGAAAAGCACTCCCCACGGCGGGGGGTGGGGAGTCACACCACAATCTCTTTCTCCTCCATTTCCCCTTTTGGGATTTTGGGCACACATGCACATGCACCTGGCATATTTTTCAAATCTTGAGATCTGAGACTTGAGTCACACAGTTGGTCATGTGGGATCCAGCCGACCTCCACCACCACACCACCAGCTGGCCCAAGTTAATCATTTTCTTTTTTAAAAAAAATAAAATCGCTGTCTTTTAAATTGCTTATGACTTGAAAATAATTCTTTATAAGACTAACCATCAGATGGTGTAATGGTTATGTTGCTGGACTCCTACATAGTCAACCATGGTTTGGGTCCCAGACCCTGCATCTTAAAACTCATGCCCCAAATCCTAAGAGAATGGAGGAGAAGGGATTGCTGTGTAGCAATCTTGTTTCTCTCTCTCTCTCTCTCTCCAGTTAGTGCACATGCCCTGTAGCAAAAAATCTCTCTTAAAAAAAAAAAAAATGACTAAGAAACTGAGAAACATATTATGGACATTCAAAGTAAAATTCATTTTGCCAGTACAAAAATTATGTTGCATAAAAGACATGGAAATAGGGACCAGCAGATGGCATAATGGTTAAGTCGCTGGACTCCCATGTAGTTGACAGTGGTTAAAATCCTGGACCTGACAACTTCAAAAACTCACACACTGGGTGCATATGTGTGCGTGCCCAAGATCCCAAGAGGAGAATGGAGAAGGGACTGCAGGGTGGGAATCCCCCAAGAAGGGTGATTTCCTGTCTTCTGATATATATAAATATATATATAAATTATATATATACACTTATATACATATAGTTTAAGGTTTTTGCCTTAGGGCATGTGCATGTGTGCATGAGAGAGAGAGAGAGATAAGTGAGAGGGAAAGTGAGAAATCATCCCTCTGGGGGAGGGGGCATGACACAATTCCTTCTCCACTTGGGATTTTGGGTACGCATGCACACGAGCCCAGCGTGATTTTTAAGTCACCAGGTCTAGGACTAGAATTGTGGTCGGCCATGTGTGAGTCCAGCACCCTAACCACCATGCCACTTGTTGGCCCTCAGCAATATATTGCATTCAAGTCATGTTAAGAAACATTAGTGATATAGAGGAGGGCAGGAGAGTAAAAATCAAAAGAGATCCCTTAGTTCACAAAATAAAGGGTCGATTTCATTACAACACTCCTCTAAGCATCAGAACTCTCTTTCAGCTTCATCAGCAAAAAATATTTGGGGTGCGAGGCCAAATGGAGTCAGATGGGAACTGACAACTCTGTGCCTGGCAGAGGAAAGATAACTAAACACGGGCAAAGAAAATCCTAAGAGGCTGAGATGCAAAATATCATTTGCATTCTTTGTGCAAACTCGTGGGGAGGAGCACGAGTGGCAGCACCCAGATGCTTCAGTCAACTTCTCACTATTTCCTAAGAAGTGCTCAGAGATGTGAAGACCACAGCTACCAAACAGAAAAGAAAATCTGAAGATATGGCAAAGGTGAACAAGGCCCATTAAGAAAGAGAAATAAAAACCTACATCCTTCCTCAAGGGGAAACAAAAAAGTTCAAGGATCCAAACATACCCAGGAGGATTCTTTCAGTCTTTTTTGGTTCTGTTCAGAATATCGCCCAAAAATCAAAAGAGAACATCTGGCCTATCTACTGGTGATGTTGCAAAGAAGCTGGGAAAGATGTATCATTCCACATCATTTTAGATGAGCATATAAAATATATATTGGGGGGCTGGCAGGTGGCGTGGTGGTTAAGGGCACTGAACTCCCCCACGGCCTACAACAGTTCATGTTCCAGACCTAGCGGCTTGCTTTCTCACTTTCCCTCTCTTTCTCTCTCTCTCTCTGTCCCTCTCTGGTCAAACTGGAATAAATAAAGTTAAATAAAATAATTATTTAAAATACATATTTGATTATAGAAACCTTCTTATGAAAAGAAGGCTGCTAAACTGAAGAAAAAAATAAGAAAAAGATATTGCTGCATGTCAAGCTAAAGAAAAGCCTGATGCAGCAGAAGTGGGAGTTGTCTAGACTGAAAAAGGCAAGGAGAAAGAGAGAGATGAAGAGGAGGAGATGAGTAGTTGGTTCTGTTTTTCTTGTCTATAACACATTTAGCCCTCATATAAAACTTTTGAAGAAAGAAACTGAAATAAAAAGCTTTGTAAGATATGTGTTTAAACTATACAGTCTCTTTCTGTATAGTTATGACACTACCACATGTGTCTTCTCAATAGTCACTAACCTTGCCTAGTACAGTACAGGGGTTGTAAACTGGCCTAGAAATTTAAAGCAGGTTCTGGTTGGTACATAGCACAAATTAGTTTTATATGGGGATGGCAGTGTTTTCATTTTCAGTTGTCTCTAATATAACTTAAACGGAATAGCTGTTGTTCTGTTAACTGGATATATCACTTTTTCTGTTTTTTTTTTTTATTTGCTATAGGGCATGTGCACTTGCCAGAGAGCAAGGAACAAAGTAAGGAAGTACCCCCCGCAAGGGAGATGGCCATGCTGTAATCCCTTCTCCTCTCGGGATTTTGGACATGCGTGCACATGCACTTCACATGTTTTTCAAGCCATGGGGTCAGGACTCTTAACTGTGCAGCTGGCCATGTGGGAGCCAGTTGCCTTAACCACCACACCATTCTGGCTAGCCCCAAATACTACTCAGTAACTGCAAAAACAAAGTTGCAACTATTTGGCTGGCATTCTGAATACTTCTAAGTAAATACAATTTTTAAAGGATTCTTTTATTTATTATTTAATTTGACCAGAGAGACACACAGAGAGAGGGAAAGTGAGGAAGCAAGCCACAAGGCCTAGGACTTGAACTGTGGTTGTCAATGTGTGAGTCTAGTGCCTTAACCACCATGCCACCTGCCAGCCATAGTAAATACAATTTTTTTAATCAAAAAAATAAATATATCTGTCTCTTCTCAGAAGGTAATTTTCAATGTTTTAATGTACAAAGGTAAAGATGCCTTATAAGACATCTTTTTATATGTATATATGTATATATGCACACATGTGTATGACTCACTGGGTTATTGTTTGCCATATAGAATAAACAAGTGTACCATAAGAAAAAACAATTCTTTTCCAATACCAAAGATATTAATATAAATGTAGAAAGAAATGTCAATTTTTCTGGCCTTTGCCTCGATTTTTTCCTGTTGGCTCCTGTTCTTACTAATTTATTATTACACCTTTTAGTGGGATATGAGTTGAATATTCTAATCTTAATCCCCTGAATAGGGAGGTAGTGTGGAAGATGATGCATCTAAAATATACATTTGGTCACAGAAACCTCCCACTTAGAACTCCAACTACCTTTATAAGATCACCAAATACAGACTCTTAAGCACAGTTAAAGGCTACTCAAATCTCCAGTTGTACTAAAATTGTATGGGGAGTTCATTAGAAAACGGGTTTCTAGGCCCTACTCCCAGAGATTCTGTAATCTGAGTTACTGATGCCTGAGAATTTGCATTTCTAACTAGTTCTCAATGATGATACTGATATCCAACCCACTTCCCAGTAACACTGTTACAGCTTTGGTAGGACTCTTAAAGGCCCAGGTTCATCCTATCACTCTCCAATCTATCAATGGTATGATTTAGCCACACAAAATTAATTGCAGGCACAAGCTCAACCTTGATGTGTCTTCCCAAAACATCCCTTTTCGAGGCAAATATCACTTGCAAAACCTTCCCTAATGTCTAAGAGATTGTTCAGGAGCTGGTAGGTGGTGTGGTGATTAAGGTGCTGGACTCCCACATGGAGCTGGTAGGTGGTGTGATGGTTAAGGTGCTGGACTCCCACATGGCTGACTGTGCTTAGAGTCCTGGACTTGGCAGCTTACCTTTTCACTTTCATTCTCTCTCTCTGATCAAAATTTAAATAAATTAAATTAAATAATTATTAAAAAGAGAGAGAGAGAGAGTTGTTGCCTCCTCTGAGTTTCTGCTACACCTATTTACGATGTCTGTTCCACTGCCGAGTGCTGGGAGGAGGATGGCAGCCTACCTAGCTTCTGGACCGAGAGCTCAGGAGTATGCCTGGTAGTCACTATTTTGTGAATGAATGAATAAAATAATCAGCCAAACTTGTCATTTTGGGACCAGCAGTTAGCGTAATGGCTATGTTGCTGGACTCCCATGTAGTCAATCGCGGTTTGCCTCCCAGATCCGGTGGCTTAAAAACTCAGGCCGGGCGCATGTGCGTGTGTGCCCAGGATCCCGAGAGGAGAATGGAGGAGAAGGGATTACAGGGTGGCCATCCCCCCTGGGGGGGTGATTTCTCACTTTCTGTCTCTCTGTCTCTGTTTTTCTGGTGGTGAGCGCACACACGCCATATAGCAAAAACTTCTCAAAAAAAAAAAAAAAAAGAAACAGACATTTGAATTCTATGTTTAATAGAATTTTTAACTAGAACTGTCAAAAGAGGCACTTAAAATATGGGAAATGGAGTTTCAAAGACCAAAAACGATTTAAATAGGCTATAAGGATAAAGAGAATGGAAATCAAGAAAGATTTAGTGAGACATTAGAAAAAGCTACCTAAGGGCCCAGCAGGTGGCATGGTGGTTAAGGTGCTGGATTATCACATGGCCAACCACGGTTCAAGTCCCAGATCTGGTAGCTTGATTGCTTGCTTGCTTGCTTTCTCTCTCTCTCTCTCTCTTTTTTCAGTGGGCATGCCCTACAGCAAATTGAAAAATAAATAGTTTTTTAAAAAAATTGTAAAAACCTATCTAATTGATGAGAGACGAGGTAAGCCATTTATTAGAGGGCCTACCTAGGGAAGGAGGGAAAACAGGTCTTACCTATGAAAAAAAATCTTAAGTGCTGGTTTATTACAGCATCCTTCTAACAAAATTATCCAACTTGACACCAAAACTAACTGAACAGATTCAACAGCAAGCAATGTTGGTTTAAAGGACCTGATGTTCGAATGTCTAAATAAAGACTGCTTTTATCACTTAAAGGGATTGTGTAGACTTTCTCTTATCAAAAAGTGAACAAAACACTGTTTCATCCAGTGGAACAGGATAAAATTTTTCCCAGTTAATAAATTCTAAAAGGACAGTGGGATTCAAGTCATGTACCAATTACTTAAAGATTTTAAGCTATTGGGGGACCAGCAGTTAACGTAATGGCTATGTTGCTGGACTCCCATGTAGTCGACCGTGGTTCGCGTCCTGGACCCAGTGGCTTAAAACTCACGCCGGGCACATGTGCATGCGTGCCCAAGATCCCGAGAGGAGAATGGAGGAGAAGGGGCTGTGGTGTGGCCATCCCCCCTGGGAGGTGATTTCTCGCTTTCTATCTCTCTGTCTCTCTCTGTCTGTTTGGCGAGCGCACACGCCCTATAGCAAAAACCACTCAAAAAAAATTTTTTTTTTAAGCTATTGGCTAACAAAGAGTTCAGTTCCAAAACACCCACTGAGTATCTATGATTCAGGTACTGTCCCTGGCCCTAAGGATGTAAAAGCTAATGGTGACATAGCTATAAAAATGTAATATTCACGTCTACTGATGTCCTTAGTAAGATACAACTCAAATAATTAAGACCCTACCATAAAAAAGCTTTTGCATCTTTCTCAGTTCTTGTTGGGAGACAAATTCACTACCAAGGTGACATGTCAAAATAAAGGAATTAGAAAAGAATTATTTTTCCTCTGTTGCATGTGCAATTAATAAAGACCTACCCTGACGAAGAGCGCAGTCCTCTCAGGTCCACTGCTCTGTAGCAGGGCGCCAATCACTGCAAAGAAAGTCTGCCGTAACACACGTGGAGGGACTGGAAATTCTGCACTCAGCGTTAACTGCTCCACCGCCAAGTTTCTAGCCACATGACACATGACTTCTTCATCAGTAAGAAAGTCAACAAGACTATGGATGCCTTCAGTGGGCAAGTCTGGGTACTCATCTTCAAGAAACTGTGTGAGGCAAGTTTGTGAAAAAGATGCCCCTTGTTCAGATAGTTCTTGATTATCTTTAAGATTCAGAAGCACTGCTTCTTTCTCTATCCCAAGTTTTTGGCGTCTGGCCTCTTCACTTTTAATATAGCAACTATTAACAAATGCCGTTTTGAGAAGATCTAAGGAAAAGGTTTCCTGTAACCGATGTCCAAACGCTTGTATCTCAGCATGGTAATCCCAGTTGGGCTTCTCTGAACTGAAAACATAAAAACAGTAAGAGATGGGAAAGAAGACATGTTACTATAATGTGAAAACTTTTCATTATGCTATAATTTTATTAATTGTCTAAAGAAATTTTAAAAAAAGGTTATGTAAAAACCAGTAAGTAGTATCGTGGTTAAGACACTGGACTCTCATATGGCCAACCACGGTATGAGTCCCAGACTTGGAAGCTTGCTTTCTCACTTTCCCTCCCTCTCTCTGGTGAGTACATGTGCCCTGTGAAAAATAAATAATAATAACTAAATAATTAAATAAATAAATCTAAAAAAAGGTAACATCTCAGGGCATAACCACCTTGGCCACTATGGCCTGATGGCTGGGGTGGATGGATCCTACAAGGCTGATTGCATAGTTTGCATCCTAGATCTGGCAGCTTGAGAAGCAAGCAGGCATGTGTGGGGGTGTGCCCAGAATCTCGAAAGGAGGGAGAGATGGAGGAGAGATTACGGTGTGGCTGTTCCCACTCTACCTGGCTAGCCATGTGCCCTGTAGCAAAAAAAAAAAAAGAAGGGCTTTGTCTCTTTTTATGTGGGCCTTGATATTCTAAATGTTAAAACTTAAAGTCAGATGAATACCGGCAGTCCTCTGCTATATTATTCTACAAAATGATTGGGTTTTTCACTTTGATTCAACTGCTACACAAGTATTTCTTCAACATCAGACATTAATCTATTATCCTAATTTTCAGAGTCCTAATGTCTGCCATAACCATGAATCTATTTATACGTAGGTATGAAATATAATGTACAATTTCTCAGATTCAGGCCATAAACACTAAGTACTTTGTATTTTATTGATTTAAATTTTAGAATTATCCATTTAAATTAGCACTTAAATAATTTAGTATCATTACTATAAGTAGGCTTTTTGTAGTTAATCACTTCCAAGAATGAATTAAAGTCTCATTTTTTCTAAGAATTTATTTATTGTTATTATTTTTTAAAATTTCCTACAGGACACTGTGGAGGGCAATGCATACGGAAGCCATCTCGCACTATCCGCCATCTTGAACTATCTACCATCTTGGAAACCATTAGGTTTCACTTCCTCACTCACTGATCAAACCATTTCTCAGAAATCATGTGACCAACCATTCTCTGGGAAGTGGTTGGGTTTCTAGGCAATGGGAAAGATCCGCCCACACCAATGATTGGTTCATGCTGTTCTATCTCATTTGCATTTCGGGCAACCAATTGGTGCCCACCAGCTGAATATAACTCGCCATTTCTCCTCAATAAACGGAGGAAGACGGTGGAAGACTTGATCAGCACCTTCTATTGTGTGTGCATTTGTCCCATCTCTCACTCCCGCGGGTCGGGACAGGACACAAGTACTCAACAGAGACAGACAAAGAGCCAGAAAGTAAGCTGCCGGGCCTGGAATTTGAACTGCGATCACCTAAGTGGGAGTCCAGCACCTTAATCACCATGCCACCTGCTGTCGCCTAAAATGTCTCTGTACAAAGAGGCCCCCATGAGCCAGCCAGTTCTGTGGCCTGACTGTTAAGGCAGCCAGATCTTATACAGCCTACTGCATTGGTTTAAGGCCTGAGTCTGGGACCCAATGGCTTGAGAAACATGTGTGAGTATTTCTAAAATCTTGAAAAGGAGAAATGGAGAAGGGACTGTAGTATGACCCATTTCCCACCAGGGAAGTGCTTTCTTTTTCTTCCTTTTTCTGATCAGCACACATGCACTCTAGGAGAAAAAAAAGAAGAGAAATCCAGCAGTGGGACATGACTGCTTGGCAGGCTGAGGCCACACCAGAGGCCCACTTCCATTCACAGCCCACTCTAAATAGCCAGGTAAGATGGTCAGTGCCTGTAGTCCATCTATTTAGGAGGCTAAGGCAGGAAGATTTGGACACAGCAAGATCTGTCTTAAACACATACATACACAATAAATAAGTAAAATTTTTTCAAAAGGATAATAAAAAAAGAGTAGCAAAGTGTAAAGATTGGGGTTGAAAGTCATAAAAGAGGGGGCCAGAAAGTGGAATGTTGGCTAGGAGTGCTGGACTCTGATGTGGCCGACATGGTTCAAGTCCTGGACCCGGTGGCTTACTTTCTCTTTCTCTCACTCTGTCCCTCTCTGATCAAATTGAAATAAATAAAGTTAAATAAAAATGAACATCGGGACCAGCAGGTGGCATGGTGGTTAAGGTGCTGGACACAGCCACATGGCCGACCGGGGTTCGAGTCCTGGACCTGGTGGCTGGCTTTAAACACTTCCTCTCTCACTCTCACCCTCTGTCTCTCTCTGGTCAAATTTTAAAAAATCAATGAATGAATAAATAAATAATAAAATAAATTTTAAAAACATCATAAAAACTATATAATATATAGGCCTGTATAATCTATATAATCCACAAGGTTTCCTCCAACCTCAATAGCCTAAAACACCTAACCTTATACAATAAGCAAGAAAATGTGAATTAAGCAGAGATTCCATTTTTTGCCTATTAGGAAAGCAATGTGGATAGTTTAGCGTATTCCTACCCGTAGGAGTATAAAGTGGGTCACCATTTCTTGGAAGGTAATATTCAAGTAGCTCCAAATTACATAGTCCATGCAAATGGGAAATAACGTCAAAGATACTGCTACGCAGGCATAATAGCACTAATACGGAGTTCAAACGCCCACGAATAGGGACATAAGGAAGAATGAGGTACTTCTATTTGTGATGCCAAGACAACAGGTCAAAGACATATTATTAAAAAGAGAGGGCAGGATGTAGGCCCCCAGGTTGAGAATGGTCTCACTTGAAGCTACAGAAACGTGTCTTTTTCTGCCATACCTCTACTACCAGAACGAGATGAATTACGGTCAAACATAAAGGTTTCTTTGGTTTGTTTTAAACTCTGGACAGGGTGGCAGTGGATACTTCATCCTTCCCCCAACACACACACACACCCTCTGATAATGGAGTTCTTTCTTAACTTGGCCTTGCGGAAACATTCTCCGACACTACAACCAGAGCGAAAACTGCTCAGCCCACAGCCTGCCGCTTTCTCTCAATTTTCAGTTGGGAAGACGCAAAGCGGGGGCTCCAGTGCGTCCGAGGCAGCCTGGAGCTCTACCGCCCGCGACACGATCCGTTTCCTACCGAAAACCTCCCAGGCTCCAGCCAGGCACGCGCTCGCGGCACCCACGCACC